CGTACATGACCAACTACCTTACTGACTGGAAGACTGCGGACATGAGACAACAGCAGGGGACGACACCCTAAGACACTCTTTTTTTGTTTCGTGTAACAAGCTGCTATTTTGTATCTTTTTCGCGAAAACACGCTTTATTTAAAAGTTACTGATTTTCAAGTACGCGGCGCCCCGCAAACTGGCGAATAGTCCGATGTATTTTGTCACGTATCACGGATAAGCTGATAGTGTCGACGTTTTTCTGGGAAATATTGTAGGACGAAGGCTTCTATCATCGACCTCTCCGAGGCTGAGCTCTGCTTCAGGGCCCGTCGTGTCTTAGACAGGTCGTTCGATCGTGTTTACAGTGAAAACTCTCGTCCCGTGTGTGCTATGAATGCTGCTTCAAGATTCTAAACCATCATCATGATTGGAAACCGATGTGTTCTGTGTGGCAGGGAAGTTAAGTGGGGTCATGAAAAATTAAAGCAGACGAACATTAACGAGATAAAGAAGTATTAATGCAATGAAATAGAGAACGTAGCCTTTACAAAAACAGACAAGCTGTAGATTTGAAATCCACCGCGCTCTCGGTGAAGGGTCTGTTGCGTTCATATATCGTTTCTATGACCACCACCGCATCATTTGTGACCCGATCAAAATTTCGTTACGCGAAAGGAAGAGCGCCGTACGCAATAACGCGCGCCCCCCAACGCCCACAACTTCGAGGATACGCTGCTGGCGCTATTTTACCTTCAAACATTTGTCATTTCAACGTTTTCTTTTTATAAGAGAAATGACGTGGTAAAGGTTGGTGCGAATAAATGGATGTATGAAAGAAAGTAACAAAATATACAATGAAATGACGAGAAAAACGAAAATATCTCCGTTGAACGCGTCCAAACTGAAATATATTCTACGATCTGGGCGCCAATTCAAACTGTAACCATTTTATTGCACGCGTTTTTTGTACATTAATATACATACTTCAATATTCACACGTTACTCATGTTTTTTTGTAACTATTGTGGGTGGGCATTAATTGGAAATGTGGAAAATTTTCACCATATTCACATATAATTATTTCACCTTAATGAGCTCGTTTTCACTCGTTCGCCCCTTTCTGGGTTCTATAATTGACTTTTTTACTCTACTGCCATCACCACTAGTCTTACTCTTCATGTAGAGATGGAGTGGTCGTCTGGTTTTACGCACAGTTTTGCTGTTGTTCAACAGGCTGATTTGTTTTGGCATCCTCTGTGCTCTGCGTCACACTATTCAAACTGCGCGCGCTTGCACGAGTATTATACTCTCCACACGTCATTTATGTGCTGTTGTATTTGTATATTACCAGCTCGTTTGTTGCACATCATTCTCATCTGGCTTTACGCACATTGCGGCACATTATTTTACTCTAGTTTTATATTATTATTATTTTTATATTTTATATTTTATTTTATATATGTATTTTTTATATCACGGTTCTTGCAGACGTCAACTGCATTTTCATAGGTATTTGTACTTTGTTTTCCCGCGTATGGCCACCTGAAACTACATCGTTCTTATTCTCTGTCTGGTTTATCCACTGATTTGTGTTTCATAGATTTCATCATATGGACACGTTACAGAGATTAGCGCATGTACTATCTGACTTTGTATTTCGCATATGGCTTTTTCTCTACTTACTTTACTCTAGTCGCACTTGGCCTATATAGAACGATCTTTAAGGGGAGAGGAATAGTCTAGACCACCTTCGGTCTGGGATTCGAACTGGGCACCAATGGCATCAGTCCCAATGTCTCCGCCTCACTCATAAACACCGCATAGACCGGGTACCACACCATATTGTGTGCGCTTCCGAATACTTTAGTAGCGGAGCTTGAATCAGAAGCCCGTTTGCGTGGAAGTAAGCCGGCTAACTCATGCACTGAAGTGTAAAACCTCGGCGAACCGCGCATGCGCAGTACCACTAATTGACGGGTTGGGCTTCACTCGTCGTCTCCCACGGAGAGTGTGCGAATGGGGGTGTTACCGCGATCGCGGCGGATGTAGTGAGCGACATCTTCCTGGAGCGTCAGTTGACCGCATCACGCGGTAACCCACTGAACCGAGACCCAGGATACGCAGATCCAAGACGCGCAATCAGATGCACCTAGACAGCCTTGCCGGCTCTGTAATGCGCGTAGTTTCATGGACTCGGCATCTGACTTATATTTAAATTGAAATTGACCAAAATTCACACACGTTTATTTAGCGATACTACAGGCTTCAGTACGAGCCAGAAAAATAAACGGGCGATTTTCCAACCCATCAATAAGTGGTGCGCATGCGTATACTAGACGTGATCGATCTGAAGGCGCGTGAATCGACTTCCGCATTCTATATATCTATTACCGCCGTAGCGGGAAACAGCGGGTAAACTCTAATAGCCGGCCTAGCCCATCCATTTAGCGGCACCGCGCACTGTAGTGCTTTTCATTTTTAATTGTATGTCGGCAACAATTGGAATTGTATAAAAATTAGCTCCAATCCACGCGATTTGCACGTTGTTTCGCGTTCCACATTCACACATTATCACGTTTTTTGTAATTACAGGTTGTAAATTCGGGTAGACATTTTAATTGGAAAATTTTAGCCAATCGCACCCTTATATGTGGTTCGTTGAGTCTTTGGTTCTCTTCGGATTTGCGCGTCTTTGTTGCGAATGCATACCGGAGGATTTCTCACTACGAACGTTTTTCACACTGCTCCTCCCTATATTTGACTTTTTGATGCGCATGCGCCGACGTTTCTGCCACTAAAACACGTTTCTGCACATTGGAGCGTTTTTCTCACTGCTGGACGATTTCTCTTCCGTATACGCACATTTCTTGTCGTTGTTCTCACAATAACACGTGGTACATATTGATCCACGTTTTCTGTGCGTCTTTACATGTTTATGATACGCATGCGCACGTTTTTCTGTGTGGATTTTCATGTTTTTCACGATTTTGAAACTGCTATTTCTCTGTTGCTTTTTTTGCGCATGCGCACTTATTTCTTCTTCATAACCTCCACTGAAGGAGAGTAGCCTATGGGGTAGGCGATTGAGTGAGGCGAAGTTGACAGCGGACGTTCAGCGTGAAGGTTGTGAATAAATTCGAAGATCTCTCTCTGTAGAGGCGGATCGTCGATCCACCGCGTCCCAAGGGTATACTCAGGGAAATCTGTCGGATCAGATTCCAGTGACCACGCGATTTCAGAGGCGGCCAGCAGTGGCGGATGAATACGGGCTGAGGAGAGGGTGGGGCGGTGAGAGATATATTGCGCTGTTCCTGAACCGCAGAGCCTGGAGGATAGGAGGATCTGAAACACTGTGACGGAATCTGCAGGTATCAGACTTGAGACCATGGCAGTTTACAAGTCACACGTGGCAAGCCGCGACAGACGGATAGATGAGGAATGGTCCTCCCCAGTTTCGCTGGCCTCGAGGTGGTTGTGGCCTCACTCATACCGCCCAGGGCCTCAAAACCAAGTGGGACCCCAACAGCGCGGCAAGCAGCAGACATATTTCGATGCTCCCCCACAGAGAGTGCATGGCCAGCCCAGGAAGCAGCTCCTTGAAGGGTGAGAGGTTGAAGGGAGCAAATGACTGTCACGTCCATAGTAGCAGGTTGACCCCGGTCCCAATTGGGAAGGAAGATGTCAGCAGGGCGGCCAAGGATGAGTGAAGGAACCTCCTTTCGCGGAGCCAATGCAGCGGAATGGGCAGCATGAAAAATAGAATCACATAGAGAGTTGTGCCTAAGGATTCTATCACCATTCCCTCCGCAACCAACCTGATGGTCGCGCAGCTGAGTGGCAAACTCCGCATTTCACCCCCTCCTCAAAAATCGGTACCCCCAACCAATATTGAAGGAACTCACGATCCATAAAGTGAAGGCCGAGGGAAGACGAGGGAACAGTGTTAAGCCAATCACCGGCATGGGGGAGAGAACATGATTTGGCGAGGGAGTGTTGCGGAGGGGGACATTGATATCCTGAAGAGAGACCCACTCAGGATACCCAGCTGCCACATCAAGAGTTGCGAGGCAGGGATGGGCGGAGGGTGGCGGAGAATCTGGGCAACGATGGGGATCGGAGAGAGCGAGGGAGCCAATGAAAGATGCGAAGGAGGGCGTGACGGAGATTAAAGCCACCCAAACAGTGATTCTTTCTACCAGCTCCAGTCAGAGATTGGACCCCCACAGAGGTCCCTCAAATTCACGAGGGTGTCCTTAATTTTGGCAATCCTCTTCATGACTGGAGGCAGAGCCTATAGAAGAACAAATTGGAGACAGGAACACCCTGGGGAAGAGACGAAGGGGGAGATGAAGCATCAGGGGGAATGATGATGAGGGATTTGCTCCGGTTAAGCAGCAAACCACGAGAAGGCCTCAGCCTCTAGGATGTCAAGCGCCACGCAGAGATCACTCAGAGGTCCACAGAGAGTCCCGTCATCTAGATACAAGACGTTCATGAGAAGACCTCGGATTTAGCACGACCGAGCAGTTTCGAAGCACTAATAATCTTCTGACATCTAGCCTGATTCTATCACTCTGCGACCCGTTTGGCCTAGGTCTGGTGACCTGAAACCTGTGGCACACGTGTCACGTTCTATGACACCCACCGAGCAACGTTACGCTCAGATAGAGAAAGAAGCACTCGCATTCCCCTGGGCCTGCGAACATCTCTCCACTTGAGATTCCACATCGAAACAGACCATAAGTCTCTCGTCCCGTACCAAGCGTCTTGATGAGTTGCCCATCAGAGAATGATGCGGTACGACTTGAGCATCTCGCACGTTGCTGGGAAGCATCTCATCATTGCTGACACGCTCTCGACCGGACAGCCGACCACAGGAGACCAAGAACTGCAACAAGACACAGCCGAGGGAGTTGTGATGCGTGGGAGCAGAGTCGTCATTCCTACTTTTCTGCGTCAGGACATGCTCCACACAGGACACCAGGGCATTACCAAGTGCCACAAAATGGCCAGACAGTCAGTATGGCCTGAAACCTTTTCGAGTACATGAGGAAGCAATACCTCATCATCGTCAACTACTACTCTCGATTCATTGAAATTGCTCTTCTGTCCGACACGTCGTCAGAAACAGTCGTCCGACGCACTAAGGGTGTTTTTGCCAGACACGGCATCCCAGAGGTAGTTGTGCCAGCCAATTCCGCGTACAAATGGTTTGCCGAAGGGTACGGTTCAAACACGTTACCAGCAGTCTTGGAACCATCAAAAGATAGTTGGAAATGGAAAAAGACCCGTACCTTGCTCTCCATCAACCCCACTTGTCTTCAGAACGGTTACTCGCCATCTGAACCACTCATGTCCCGTAAGCTGAGAACATCTGTGCCGATTTATCAAGAATTACTTAGGTAGGTAGCATCGTTTGTGAGACGAAAAAACATTGGAGAAGTGAGATTTAAAGTAACACACACACAGATCCAACTACCGTAACCCTCGCTGCACATGCGCGCCGAGGGTTATGACAAAGAAGAGCCAGGGAGGCTATTAGTCAAACTAGCTACAATGTAATATGAAAGCGGTATGAATAAAATGTGCCACTGCATCTTATTATCAGATCCTATATACACGATTTTCTGATCTGATGAAAACCACTTATATCCAGGGAATTGTATTACTTGTTCCAGATTGTTCATACTTCGAACATTCACATAGGAAATGCTTCTCATCCTCTACAGATTTGCAGTTGCGACACAGCCTCTGGACCAACCTCGGTTTATGGTATCTCCCACGTTCATTTTCCAGACTGTGGCATCCATCTGTAAGCCGAGTCATAGATACACAGAGCGCTGCTGAAGTTATATTAAAAAAGATAGGGCTCCATGACAAACTCTTTCTTGAATAATCTGTATGATCTCAGTTTGTTTCCACCTTGTCCAGTCAGGCTATATTCACGTTCTCTATTGGCATGCCGCCTTAGGTGCACATAATTGTGTTTTGCGTGTTTCGGTCAAAAACACAGAATGGAGTAGCGTAACCGGCAGTATTCAAGACAGTAGCCACATTTGAAATCCAACACTTTTCCCACAGCTAGCATTGTACAGTGACAGGTGCTTTGCTGCTTTGAGTAGTGCAGGAGCATCATCTGAGCAGATCCTGTTCCAGTATTCTCTCCGCTGACCCTGCTCACCATAAACAGCCACATTAGGTGCTGATGCTGGTAAATGTAGTATCTGCTTGAGAAAACGGAGCTCTACTCTCTCGGTGTTGATCACCAGTGAAACCCAAGATTTGAGACCCATATGGGCTTCAATCATAAAACAGTAAGGCGGTGTGCGCGGCGCTTTAGCATTAATGGCTAGGCGTCAGTCAGTTCTAACTACGCTGCTTATATCAACTACACGTTGCTTAGTTCTTTCACCAAACGGCCGGCGACGCAAGAACCTCGCCCACAAGTTCAAATTCATGTTATGAGCCCCAACGATTATGCATACAGAAAAATATAAGTATATATAAATGACGTGAACATGAGAAGAGATTAGAGAGAATTGGAGAGGGTAGTGATGTTTTCGTGAACACCTCCCTTCAATGGCTTTCACTGTTGCAGTGGTCTGAGCTCACGTGCTCAAAGTACGAAGTGCTCTGGTGGATGATGTTGTGGCAGATGGGACATTCTCGCTTTCCAAACACTGGTCTGCACATTACACTCAGTAGATGTTGAGTTAAACGAGTTACACGAACTCCGTGATATAGGGCGATGTCCCATAGCTGAGGAGGCGATTCTAGGGCCAGCAATGTGCTTAGTCGACTGGTGACACTTGGCCATCTCTAGCACAATTTCCCAGTCCCTTGAGATCAGAGCTTCTTTTGCTTCTTGCAGTACTAATTGAGCATTTCCAGGGTCATTAAGACATTGTGTCACGAATGATATACCAAACTCACTTTCAAGTAGCTGACATTGCTCGACCAGACTGATCTTACTGACATCCTCGCAGGCAAGTGTACGGAAAACACGAGAGCTGAGGTTGTCGCTGGTAACCTTCACTAGAAAAGTTAAGTGCGCAAACACAAACGTGACATCGTTGGCCTCATCGTAGTGTAACCATAGGTCTGCAGAAACGACCGCCAAAACCTTTTTTACCAAAACGATGGGGATGGCTTGTGAGGAACTGGCGGAAGATGAACAACTTCAAAAGGCCGCGAGGTGGCACCGCTGTCCATTATCTATGTGTTATCTTCCAATATAATGGTGTACTCACTTAAAATACCATTTTTTAAATCGGGTAAAAGCTCAGTCAGGAATAACAGACCAATGTCACTATTACCGGTTGTCTCTAAGGTTCTAGAAAAACTAATCTACAATGATATTGTGCATTTCGTTACATCCTCCATTACAGTTCACCAATTTGGTTTCTTGCGTGGTCGCTCTACTACAACAGCTGCTTGTATTTTTCATATATTTTCAACTCCTCCATGCCTCAAACAGATGTGGTGTATCTAGACTTTATGAAACTCTGTAGCTCACAGTGAGCTACTCTACAAACTCCGTGGCAAACTCTGGTCCTGGATGAGAGCCTATATACAAAGGGAAAGGAAAGAATCCTCTTGACCCTAATAGCCAATGTGCTCAGCAAATTATTCCAATCTCTCGCTTTGACTCGAATGCTGCCTGAGCTTGAAATGAAAGGTTCCCCTCAATTCAGCAAACAGCTCACCAGTGTGGTGTGTCATATGTGAGGATGCTACCTTCGCCGTATATGAAACCCTTTCCCATCTTGCACGGAACGGGAACACCATCTTCCAGACTTCCTAAGATTTGGAGAAAGCTTTTGACACCGTTGAGTACTGCACCCTATTAAAGCAAGCGGAATACACGGCAAGTGCTGGAGAATAATTCAGAGTTTTCATGATAGACCAAAGGGTCACGTGAAGGTAATGGCTGCCTATCGCCAGGTTTTCTAATTGAGCGAGGGGTGAGGTAGGGTTCAGTTCTCTCCCCTACCCTGTTCCTAGTGCTCATTGGAAGCGTGGCTTCTTCGCGTTCAACGGATTCCTCAGGTATAGCAATACCGATATCAGATGGAGCACACATATGAATTAATTTTAGCAAGGTGCTTTTATAGTGTGTTAGTGTAAGGGGCGAGTTATATAGGGGAACAGGATAACATGTGGGTATGTAAGTCAGGGGCAGGTGAGGAATGTTCAGGGGTGCAAGAGACAATGTTGGTCGTAGTCATGTAGCTTCTGTAGTCAGCCTGGTTAGAATGTCTCTCCCGGATTTAGATCTGATTGTGGTAATAATCTGGAGGTCTCCTCTGTCTTGCAGGGTATCTGCGAGGCGGAGGGGGCGGTGCAGCCGGTGGATGGAGGGGGTATCCTTGTCCCGCCAAATTGGGTGCTGCTGGAGGCCTAGGCAAATCACTGTCGTTATCTTCCACCAGTTCCAACGATGTCCCCACTGCTGTGAGATGGCTTGGTTAGCCTCCTTTTGGTCCCTTAATGTCTGATGCTGTGGTTGTGGGCGAACTTGTTGATTAAGTGCACCACTACATGCCAATTGTTCTTTAGATGCTGAATGCGGTAAGTGGCCTCTGAGATCCTCTTTAGGCCCTTTCCAAGGTAGGGAAAGTTTCCTCGAGTGTCCTTGCGGTGTAGCTGGAGAGTGTAGCCAGACATATTCTCCCTCATTGAATGGATTTCCATGTACTCTGTTGTCATAGAAGTCTTTTTCCCTTATGGCGGACTTGTTGGTAGGCCTTCTCGAGACCCTCCTTCAGTTGAGCTGCATACTGGCATTGATGGAGATGGGGCCCCATACATTAGGTCGATAGGCACTTTTGCTTGACGGCCGAACATCAAGTAAAACGGGGTATACCCTGCCGTGGCTTGTACGTTGCCATACAGAGGCTCCTGAGATGACTCTCCCATTGGTTTGGATGGTCATTTGCAGCCATAGCCATCATACTCAGGAGTGTACAGTTGACACGCTCAACCAGGCCGTCTGATTGTGGGTGATACGTGGTTGTTCTGGTTTTGACAATTTCCAACAGGCGGCAGATTTCGGATATCACATCAGACTCAAGTCAGAGTGCAACTGTTCGGGGAGGCCAAAGCGAAAAAATAATTCGTTTGTCAGCCTGTGGGCTATATACAGTAGTGGCCAATTGATCCGGAATGCCGAAGGCCTCGACTCGCCGAGTAAAATAGTCGCTCACCACGAGTATGTACCGATTTCCCTGGGAAGAAATTGGGAACGGCCCCATGATGTCCATTGCTACAATTTGGAGTGGGTATCCTGTTTTGATAGTTGTTAGGGGAGCTTGAGATCTTGTGGATGGTGCCTTCCGGGAGGCACAAACTGTGCAAGTTTGGTACCAATTCCTCACATCTTCATAATGAAAACGCTCTTTCAGGCAGTTTAGCGTCTTGTCTATCCCCAAGTGGCCTCCAGCAATACCTTCGTGCAGAGTGGAGAGGATTTCCTACTGCAATGTTTTTGGTATAACCTGTTGGACATGATTCTGCTGGTCGTTCGCTTGTACATAGAGCCGACAAAGAACACCATTGTTGATCCCAAATCTGCACCAGACGTCTGGTGTATCGGCTTGCTCCCCCCATATCCGAAGGGGTAGGTTTACGGCCAGGCTCTTTTCCAAGCAGTAGCGGCCCTAATAGAGGGTGTGCTGTACTGCGTGAATATCATCCGTTTGAATGGCGGGGTGGACATCAGTAGTAAGGATATTCGCTGTATTGCAGGGTTGCTCATGTGTGGCCAGTCCACACTGACTGCATGGTAGGTGAGAGAGTGCATCTGCATTAATGTGACTTCTTCCTCGCATGTGCACGATGGTGAACTCGAACTCCCATCCATCGAGCTAACTGTCCCTTAGGATGTTTTGCAGCCTTCTGCCCCAGTAGGTATGGCCGGTACTTCGCAATGAAGTAGACAACAGCTAGGAGTTCTTTACGTGTGACACAGTACTTGCACTCAGGCTTTGTGAGTAGACGACTGCCGTATGCTATCACATGCTCCTTGCCATCTTCTCCAATTCGCGATAGCACAGCCCCTATTCCGGTGTCACTGGCATCGGTGTCGAGGGTGAACGCATTCTTGAAATTGGAGTGAGCTAAGACTGGTGCTTGTGAAAGGAGCAGGCGCAACTTGTTGGCAGTCAGTGGTCCACATAAATTTGTTAACATTCTCTGTTAGCCGGTGGAGTGTTTTTCCGATGTTGTTTGATAAAGCGGCGATAATAGTCGGCTAGCCCGTGGAATTGCTGGACACTTTTGATTGAGTTCGGCTTCTTTAATTTTGGATAAATCGGGAGCTATACCCTCTCTTCAGATAATGTGGCCCAAATAGTTTACTCTCTCTTTGAAAAAGGAGCATTCTGATGGCTTTAGTTTCAGCCCCGCTTTGCAGAGACTTTGGAGTACACTCTGGATGTTGCAAAGATGATCCTTGAAAGTAGTCCCCAGTATGATGATGTCGTCCAAATAGACTAATGTACCTGAAAGCACCAGGTCCATTAGTCGTTGGAAAGTAGCTGGTGCATTGCAAAGGCCGAATGGCATAACTTTGAATTGAAACAGACCCTCCTCCGTTGTACAAAAAGCAGTTTTTGGCCGATCATCCCCTTTCACTTCGACCTGCCAGTATCCACTTAATAAATCAAGCGTACTCAACCACTTTGAGCCTGCCATAGCATCCAAAGTAGAATCGATCCAGGGCAGTGGGTAGGCATCCTTTTGACTTTTGAAAATCCGCGCAGAATCTAGTTGACCCGTCCTTTTTCTTTACTAGGACTATTGGCGATGCCCATGGGCTTGTGGAACGGTCGATGATTCCATTTTCCAGCATATCATTCAGTAGTTGCTGTACTTCGCTCCTTCTTTGTGGGGAGAGCCGGCGGACCGATTGACGAATTGGTGGGTT